TAATATAGACTAATTATATTAAGTGTTAGATATTAAGTGGACAGAAGTAATTATACTATTTTGTTTTAAGATTTTACCTATTTGTTGCAGATAATTTTCAGCTTGTGGTTTGAATGAAGCATTCAAGTTTGTTCACTCACCATCTTTCAGATTCCCAAATCAATTAGAGCAGCTGGATACATCTGCTTGCTCCAATAATCATTCATTCTTTGCCATTCTGTAACCAGGAGAACAATAGTCATTGTAATAAAACATTAAAAGAAAAGCCTGTCCTTAGAAAATAAGCATCCATTTTTCTCAAGTTGCTTAAAGTGCCAAAATAAGAAACTGTTATATGTAACTGTTTTGCAACCATACCATTGTCCTTTCATAATCTGTATTAACTGCACAGTTAGCATTGTCTGCAAGTGTAGCACATTTTCTATACCATTAATATGTGATCATCTAAATGCCATGGTTTCCAGTGGAGTTGCTGCTTAGTTACCACCTCTGATATCATGAAATCACTTACATTATCTCTCGGTAACTATGCAATCAACTCATATCACCACTCTGTCACAGACAAGACAAGATGTACAGAACAAGGACTCAGCTGCTGCCCGGGGAGCATGGACTCGGTCTTAACGTCAGCTGCTCAGGGGCCCAAAGAAATGACTGAAAAAAATGACTAGAAAGCATTATAAAGTTGATGTTAGAGTGAAGGTAAAGCCAAGTTTATAGGTTAAATATTTGATTTCTTGTAGCCAAAATTTTTTTCTGGTTGGATGGAGGGCTTGGGGAGGGACCTGGGCAGAGAATCTAGTCTCTCTCTCTCTTTTTTAATTTAAATTTTTTGCTAATCTTTGGATTTTGGTCTAATTCTTAGGTCCTTTTGCTCTTAGATTTGGGATATAAAAATCTGAGTTGGATTTAATTACCAAGCTGGTGATTTTTGCCCCATTCAAAGTTATAAAGGCTTTTAAAAAAGAAGGCTTTTAAATAGACATCATGTGCTCCTCTCATAGTACTTGAGAGAATTCAAGTTATGCCTTTTATACTGTATATTTGGAGTTAACTTTTAGCTGACATGAAAAATTTTTTAATACTTGATTAATATTGACACAAAGTATGTTATAATGAATAGATTTTCTTAGTATATTAATTTTATTCCTTGGGGATGATTTCTTTGTCCAGTAGTTAAATAGCAGAAATATTGGGAGGAATGAATGATAAAATCCCATTTTATATGTATGTATATATATATAAAAAATGACCAATTTATTTTTTAGTAAAAGCATAATTTAGTAGACCTGTAGAACCTTGTTGTTTTTAATTCAAGAGAAAACTTAAAAATAAATTGCTAAGTGGTATAAATAACATAAGTATGTTTAAGTTTTTCTGTTGTTTCCCCTTAAATGAGATAATTTACCATCTTGCTTATTACATTATATATTGGTATTCACTTATAAAGATGCCTCCTTATAATATTTAAATTTTTAATCCTTTGTTACATAAAAGCATAGTAAGATTCCTAATTAATCTGAAATTTTAGTTTTATATGTAATTACTAATGAAAAACTATCTCATTAATTCAGTTAGGAATGCTTCTCAAGAAAAACTCACACAACTCTGGTACCAGACATGTCCATTTAACACCTTAATTTATGCTGGTATAAACAGAAGAAAATATCACTGTGAGTGAGCTGTGTGTTTTGTGCTGCAGTTAATAATTAGATAGGGAAATAAATTACACTGTGAAAGATTTTCTTATTCTCAACACTACTGACATTGGGAGTGGATAATTATTTGATGGGGAGAGAGGAACTGTTCTGTACATTATAGGATATGTATTATAGTATACCAGCCCTCCACCCACTAAATGCTAATTGTGTGCCCAGTCATGACGATCAGAAAGTCTCCAGACATTACCATATGTCCCCTGGGGGACAAAATTGCCTCTAATTGATAACCCTGTCCTGTAGAATGAAAAAATGTAAGAGGAAAATAAAAATAAAGATAATGACAATGAATTCTATCAGAGAGCTAAAGGTTGTCTTCCATCTGCTACTTTTAATTTTGTATTCCTGTAGCGTCTAGGCCAAACCCTAGAAACAGGGCTTCCGGTCTGAGGCCAGCAGCCACTGGTCTGTCAGTGCTTCATCAGGCAGCTCCAAGGTGGCCACTGGCAGCTGCTCGAGATGAAAATGAAATTATAAATTCCCTTTCTCAGTCACACTAACCCAAGCCATGTGCTTAGTAGCCACATGTTGCTAGTGGTTACTGGAGCGTGGAGCTAGAACAGGAACAGACAAACTTTAGAGACAGCAGAACCAATCTATCCCTCACAACCATTGAAAAAGCATTCAAAAGTTATAAATAGGCTTTTACAATTAAATGAAATCACCATTATCTAAATCCCTTTACATTTTTTTCAGTTTTACTTCAGAGCCACATATGACATGCAAACTGCAGTTTGCCAGCCTGATACCTACAGAATATGCCCTCATTCAGAAAACTGTTGGCTAGCACTACTTAAGAAAATTGACCCCAAAGAATCTCATCCCATAGTTCAGAGCCCATTGTTTCTCTTTCTAGAACAGGCTCCTTGAAACCTCAGGATCCACAAATAAACGATAGAAATCCAGGATCACCTACAGTCAAAGACCAAATTATGTATATATTGCGTATATAATCAATATGTACATAATGTCTTTTTCTAAGAGTTGATTGCTTTCCTTAGATTCTCAAAGGGGTCAGTCAACTGTAAAGTCACTATATTATGCTTCAATGAAATTGTCGCTCCAATTCTGTTTTTAAAACCTAGGTGGAAAAAAAAAAACCTAGGTGGGTTTTTTTTTTCCTCCCTGCTTTATAAATCTTTGAAGGTCTTTCTTCTTCAGCCTTCAGAGATTCTGATCTATAATTAGTATGTGATTACTAGGCTTTTCAAATGTCACATACTTTAAAAGGTTATAGAACATCTCGAGAATTATTGCAACTACTCTTTCATTTCTCCCCTCCTCTCCCAGCATAAATACCTGAATTTACTATTTAAAAAGGTGTTTTTTACTAAGGAAGTACTTCATTTTGCAATCTATAGACTTTGCAAATCTCATATATTTTTAACACATAGTATTTGACAGAGAAAGGGCTTGGAGTAGGTTAGGTCTATCATAATTAGAGCCACTAATCTTATATGAAATCTTTTTTAATAGCCCATTAGTTATAAATTTTCTATTTGTTCAGAATATACTTGAGTTTTATTAATAGCTAATATGCTTTATAAGTATAGATACTTTTTCATGTGATTGCTCTATAACCTCAGTTTTTCTTGTTGGAAACAGGTCTGAAGGTGGAAGTGACGCATTGTGGAACCATGAGACGGAAGTACCGTGTTTGTAATGTAACAAGAAGGCCTGCCAGTCATCAAACGTAAGAGAAAGTGGAGTTTGTCAGAGCAGAGATGGCATGAGCAGCTTGCTCTAGTTGGTGCATGGGGAGGTTTGCTGGCTCATAATATGCTAAGAGTTGGTAATAACCTGTGCTTTTTCCCCCACAGCTTTCCTTTGCAGTTAGAAAATGGCCAAACTGTGGAGAGAACAGTAGCGCAGTACTTCCGAGAGAAATACACTCTTCAGCTGAAGTACCCGCATCTCCCCTGTTTGCAAGTGGGGCAGGAACAGAAACATACCTACCTTCCCCTAGAAGTAATGCTCCTCTTACTCATCTTTCCGTGGGGTCTTCTGTGACTTACCGCCTGCCGCATGCTTACTCTCACTATTCCAAAGACCCCAACCTGTTTTTGGAATTTATTTGAAACTTTCTGTTATGAAATAATAGGGAAAAAATTCATTTGTGTTCCTACCACTCTAATGTAATCACTATTAGCCTTTTGGTACACGACTTTCAGTCTTTATATCTAGTGTACATTTAATCTAGTTACAATTATACTGTAGAGCAATTTTTTTACTGTTTCTTTTTACTTACCATATAAAAAAATTAGGTTTTTAATGACTATTTAAATTTTCAACTTCATGTGTAACTAGCATTGAATGAGAGCTGGGAAAGAGAGAGATGCTTCCAGTACACGATTTGTTTTCCTGTGTAGGTGTGTAATATTGTGGCGGGGCAACGCTGTATCAAGAAGCTAACGGACAATCAGACTTCCACAATGATCAAGGCAACAGCACGGTCTGCACCAGACAGACAAGAGGAAATTAGCCGATTGGTTCGTATTTCAATATAGAAATAGGGATTTAAAATGTATTAGGATAAGCCTCGAACGAAGCCTGTCCTTCGTAAACTGTGTTTAATTCTGTTTTATGTACTCTCACATGAGGGCTAATGGAAATAATCGATGGAACAGCTCTGTTCTGGGGAGCGTTCTCAGTAAGGTCTGTAAGAAGGGTTACAGTGGCAGGTGTACAGCAGAACAGGCTGTTACTGTGCTGGGAACCGCACTGTTCTCAGGTTGCTGCTCTGTTTGAGCCGCTGTGCCGATCCAGTTCGTCATGGGTCTTCTCCTTACAAGCCACGATGCCTTCTCCAGGGACTGGCCTCTCCTGATCACGTGTCCACAGTACATGAGACGATCTCCCCCCACCTCGCTCTCAAGGAGCATTCCGCGTGTACTTTTTCCAAGACAGATTTGTTTATTCTTCCGGCAATCCACAGTATTTTCAATATTCTTTGCCAACATCCTAATTCAAATGCATCAACCCTTTTTCAATCTTCCTTAATCCGTGTCCAACTTTCACAAGCATGTGAGGCCATTGAAAACACCATGCTCGGATCAGGTGTACTTCAGTCCCCAAAGTGACCTCCGTGCTCCTCGGCACTTTAAAGGCATCTGTGCAGCAGGTTTTCGCAGTGCAATACATCGTTTGCTTTCTTGACTGCCGCTTCCATGAGTGTTGATTGTGGATCCAAGCAAGATGAGGTTCTTGACAACTTCAATCTTTTTTCCATTCATCGTGATTTTATGTATTGGTCCAATTGTGAAGATTTGGCGATTATTGTTGCATTCCGTTGCAATCCATCCTGAAGGGTGTAGTCCTTGTTCTTCATCAAATCTTCCAAGTCCTCCTCACTTTCAGCAAACAAGGTTGTGCCATCTGCATATGACAGGTTGTTAATAAGCCTTGTTCCAATCCTGATGCCATGTTCTTCCTCATGTAGTCCAGTTTCTCAGATTTTTTGCTCATCAAAAACAAAACAAAAACCTCACCGTCATTGGTCGATTCTGACTCATAGCAAACCCTATAAAACAGAGTAGAACTTCTCTTGTGACTTTCCAAGACTGTAATTCTTTACTGGAGTAGAAAGTCCCTTCTTTCTCTGGCGGAGCACATGGTGGTTTTGAACTGATAACCTTGCAGTTAGCAGCCCAACACATAACCACTGCACCACCAGATTGACTAAGTATGGTGGAAGGACACAAGGAAAGTTAAGTTCCTCTAATATATCCCCAAATTCTTTCATTAGGTCCAGGAATAGAGTATCTCAGAATTAATGCTTCAGTTTAGTAAACTGGAACTTTATTACCTCCCACAGAAAAGAAGAGAAGGGAAAACAGGATATTATAACCGCCAATGATGAGAAGTATCAGAATAGGATGTGCAAAACGTAAAAGATAGTTTTTACCACCGAGGGGAACCTAACTTTGTATCCTCCATGCTGTTTCCTTATTGCTAATAGTGGAGGATGGGAAATGTTAGTGAAACCGCTTTATAAGAACTGATGGCATAAAGCAAGACGGGGAGTAAAGTGAAGCAGGGGCCTTCTTAGCTCCCTCTCTCCCTGCGTACCACATACACTGACAGGCTGAGGGGTCCCGGACTGATGTGACCCACTGCCACCTTTTCAGAAAGAAATTACTCATCACCTCCTGGCAATGAAAACCTTTGTGCTGCATATCTTACAATCCAGGGTGAAGTATAGGTGTCTGCTTTTGCAGCACCCACCCCAAGGGGGGCGGGGGTGTCGCTCACTTTGAGAAATTCCAGTCTAGATAAATGAATATTCTTCCAAGCCACCTTAAAACACTTAAAGACATTTTTCTTTAGATTGTTGGAAATAGGTTACAGAGCTGGCCCTTTACTTTTATAAGCCAATTACAAGGTAGGAGGATGGGGGGGGGCTTTTGTTTTTTACTTATATATTTTTTCGACTTTTAATTGTGAATTGGATGATGCACACCTACTGGTCCAATAAAGAACTGAGAACTTCTAATATACTTGGAACTGAAGCTAGGTTTTCAGAAGGTCACTTTTCAGCTTATAAAACAGACAATTACCACCGTGGAGCATCAGTTGTTTTGGGCCTTGGAGATAGCAGCCTGATGGGTCACCTCTGTACCACCAGAGCGCCTGTTGCATGTGCGAATTCTATCTGAGATCCGAGTCTGCACCTCCATTGTACTATTACAACTGCACGTCTTACTGTGCAGATCTGGGACTTTATAATTCATGTTCACAATAACCTTATTAAGTAGGTGTTTTAAAATCTTATTTTATAGAGGCTAATAATAAATTCTTCTATTTTATATATTGTTATAAAAAATTACAAACTAATGTATCTCATTAAGTACATTTTCACAGTATGTTCCTACTTTTCTAAAATTGAGATTAAATTTTATATAAATTATAAATTACGTAACTAATAGGGAAGCTTAAGAATTATGGACTATGGTTATATATGCTATCAAACTAAGTAAAACAATTCTGTAATAGTATATGTCTCTAAAGAAAACAAACACTGCCATCATGTGTTGATACCGACTCATAGCAACCAGTGGGACCTGGGTAACCGCCCTTGTGAATTTCTGAGATGGTAACTCTTTATGGCAGTTAAAGTTCTGTCTTTCTCCTGAGGAGGTGCTACTGGCTTTGAACTGCTGACCCTGCCGTTAGCAGCCCAGTGCATCCAGATCCTCTTATTATCCAGCAACCTTAACCTTTGTTGAATCAGGTGTTTCTTTGAGACTCTATTGCACTCTGTGCGCCACCTTCCCAAAAACACATTAGATTGAGTCATGTAAGTTTATCAATTTGTAGATAAAAACAATGGAAATTCCTTATGATTTATCCTAATTGATACATTTAAATTTTACCTGAATTATCAGGAGGGTCACAGACTTTTTACAGTTCATTCATAAACTAGTTTTCAAGTTAAGATTCTCTTCTCTCCCAAACCCTACCAATCTTGATCATTTCAATTCCAAATGGTTTGGATATTTGGCTCTTATTTTGTTGATGGAAAATAGTACATATACCAGCCTAATAAACTATATCAATATTTTATTGATAACTATTTTTCAACTTTAAAAAAAGGATTTCTCTATAGTTAGGGCACTGTTAATAAGACCTATTATAAAACATTGTTGAGAAAAGTGGGTGAAGGGAGACGTCGGACAGGGCAAGATATGACAAAATAATAATATATGAATTATCAAGGGTTCATGAGGGAGGGGGGAGTGGGGAGGGAGGGGAAAAATGAGGACCTAATGCCAGGGGCTTAAGTGGAGAGGAAATGTTTTGAGAATGATGAGGGCAATGAATGTACAAATGTGCTTTACACAATTGATGTAGGTATGGATTGTGATAGAGTTGTATGAGCCCCTAATAAAATGATTTAAAAAAAGAGTTGTAAGAGCCCCCAATAAAATGATTTTTTTAAGTTGATACAGTAAAGGAAAAATAAAGATTCTAATTAGTAAAATGGAATTTTCTGGAGTTTTGTGAATAACTACAAATTTTCTCTGTGGGTAGGTAAGAAGTGCAAATTATGAAACAGATCCGTTTGTTCAGGAATTTCAGTTTAAAGTTCGGGATGAGATGGCCCATGTAACAGGACGTGTACTTCCAGCACCTATGCTACAGTATGGAGGACGGGTAAATCTTGGTTTTCAAACTTACACATAGTTTCTAAGTATGTAGAGAAGGGAATCAGTCCTAGCTAAGCCTGACTTTAGAAAGTGCTTTATTCCAATGGTGTGTGACTCTGTGTGTGTGTGTGTGTGTGTGTGTGTGTGTGTGTGTGTGTGTGCGCACGCGCGCGTACACACACACATTAAGGTGGATATATTTGCTTTTAGTAAAAAAAAATTTTCACAATAAAGATACAAATAATCTTCCATATAGAATATCAGAAATATTCATTCCAGCAGTTTGAAATGCCGGTTTCCAGCTCATTGAAATAAATGTTTTAAACTTTTGTTCTTTTTTTTTAATGCCTCATCTGTGGCTTTAAACAGCTGGTGTTTTCAAACTGCTGGCCTTGCAGTTGGTAGCCCTGCACATAACCACTGTGCCACCAGGGCTCCAAATTTTGTTCTTGATGGGGAAATAGATCTATGTGTCTATGTGCAATGGGGAAATAGATCTATATGCATATATTTCTAGGTTTAGTATTAAGGTAGCAGATGGACATTGGGCCTCCACTCAACTACTCCCTCAATGCAAGAACACTTTGTTCTATTAAACTGGCATTCCATGATGCTCAACTTCCCGACAAGATTGCTAAAGACTAATGTGTGCATAAGCAAATGTGGTGAAGAAAGCTGATGGTACCCAGCTATCAAAAGATACAGCATCTGGGGTCTTAATGGCTTGAAGGTAAACAAGCAGCCATCTAGCTCAGAAGCAACAAAGCCCACATGGAA